TTTGAAAATTTATCTAATGCTTAAAAAAATCCGACATTCATTTTAGATTTAAATGCCATCTTTTTAATGCATTTTTGACATAAAGAACTTTATTTTAAACGTTTTAGGTGTCATCGACCTTATTCAGCCAAGTGCGAGTGGCTCGGACACACTCTCGAACTCATTCACTTGTAAATTTTAAATAGAATTTCATCCTTTGTGTTACAGGCGACAACAGGAAGGGTATTTTTAATAAAACTGTAATTGAAATATACGCTGGGAAAAAATCGCAAGATAAATCATCGCTGTAAATGTTAATGGAATACATCGTGATCCTAAAAACGCCATTACCATAAAAGCATATGTTCTGTAGTTAGTTTAGTTCAAATACAGCAAGCAACAAATAATGAAATGTGGGTGTAAATAGACATTTTCCTTTATAAATCAGCTGATACTAGACTTGGGTCTGTTTTTATACATATCTCATTTTGGAAAACGCATAAAAACTGACCATGTCTCTTAAAGGGGGCGTTCTTTGTCCAGCATTTTAGAAAATATAAGCAAGTTAGAAACAATATCTCTTCATTGTACCAATTATATAAGTTTTCTTCAGGGTATAAGACAATTAATTGACAATACATTCATAATAAAGGAAGAGAAGCAAATATTCATATATTTACCTTGTATGTTTATCTTAAGTTTCCAGAATTTTGCAATCACACCTCGCAGAATAGGAAACTGTTAACACATGCATTAATTACAATTATTGAGTATCTTTACAAATTTGCTGGACAAAACGGGAAAGGTACATTTTTTGATGTTCGCATGTCTTCCGTGATCTTTCAATGCGAAAAGTTAAAGTTTCTTCGAAATTCGAAAAATTTCTGTTAAGGGTAGTTAGACAACTATCCTTATTTATAACCGATTTTGATAAAACTTATGATAGCTAAATACCCTTATGGTATAATTATTACCTACAATTTTCATTCCATTATCTTAATCAGAAAGAAAGTTATTTTAAAAACTATCCAAAGGATAGTTTGCCCTTTGGCAAACGGCAAAGGCCCTTTGGAGGGCCAAATCACAGTAACGGTGCTCCGGAGGACCAATGTTTATAGGAACCTTTTTTTACTATTTTTGGCTCTACTTTCACCTCACCCAATTTTGTACCAACTTTTCCAAACACCTTGTACTTCATTTTGCGTTGATATATTGCCATCTTAACAATTAGTTAATATTTATGACACATTTAGACTAGTCTTTACAAAATTCCTTTACCTCGACTTCACTAACTGGGTATGTATATACAAAAAGTGGAAGTATAATTTCTAAGCAAAATTTTTTCCATAATATGCGAATTTTTTATTTAAATTATTCCTGTAAATTCATAGACGTAAATGAGTATTTTTTTTTTAAATGCATATAAAATTTTTCAATGGACTTCAATAATTTGGATTCATTAGTCAACGTTTTTGGTTGTTTGTCACTGTTTTTAAAGATCATATTATTTCATTTTATTGCCTTTACTTTATGGATAGACAATAGTTGCTCGTGTTATTTACACATTTTGGGTACGAGACATCTAAAAAGTAACATTTTCGTTCGGAAATATGTTAGTAAAGTTGTATTTTATAATCAGATATAAAATAAAAACCAAAAAGTTGATAACGCTGAAGCTAAGTCAATTTCTGTTAAAAAGTGATTGCAATAATCAGATAATAGTATAAACTTGTCTCGTTCTATACTCCATAAAGTCTTCGGCTCTATTAAGTATCATAATAGTTATTTTCTCTTGTGCAGTTCCGCTTCCTGTTTACCTCATCAACTTTAACAACCAGGAGTTTGTATGGGAGCCCCGGGAGAAAGTGGCACCTGTGCAGCCGCAGAGGAGCGTACTCGAAAAGGCGGAACGGCAAATGATCTGTGCGCAGGAGGTTAAGGGGTCTGCTGCATATGTAAGTAATGAAACTAATTAAGGTGCCTGAACTGGCGGACTATATTATACTGCTGTAGTCTATATAATAATTTTACGCATATACTTCGACAACCAGTATAAACAATACGATGAGGCGTTCCGTTGTTATAAAGTATATGTTTCACTGTAATTAGCCAAATTTGCTATAAAGGGTTAAATTGCACAAATGATAGGTTTCTAAGGATGTCCAGAAATACCGGGCTAAACGTTAATGATAGATTTCTTCACGGACAGTTGAAGTTCCTTATGGGACTCGTTAATCGTATTTTTTTAATTTAGTTTGTCTAGATGAATCACTCCGTCACGTATTTAGTGACTCACAGCCAAAACTTCAATTTTTTTTTTAAATTTTTGACCCATAAAAGTAAAAGTTCTTTATATGTGCAAAAAAACTAGTTATTATTGAACGCTTTTACTGCACGATTTTAGTTATAAGGTGTGGAAATATTACCACGTTATTTATTTTTCATTTTTAATGGTATGTACAGGTGTAGATATATTTGCAGTTTACACAATTTTTTCAGTAAGAATTCTAAGCAACAATTTCGTTTGGTGCTTTCCTGAACGAAACATTGTGGTAGCTAACAAACAGTCAACCATGTATTGCAACCATATCTTTAAGTCTCCGGTTTAACCGTCAGTAATAAACTTCGAGGTTAAGTGGTTTTTAATTTTGAAATTTTCACTAACGTATTACCAGTAACTTCCACATAAACAACGTTCATTCTGGAATCTGGAATACTAGGGAGAGTAGCTTGTAAAGCTACAGCACTTAGGCTCCATTGGGCCCCTTGTACTTCCTCCCTTTAGGAGATCAATCCACCTGAGCCGCTAACCAACCTATTACAGAGAAAAAGGTGATGACGTTACTCAGGGGGGTCTCTCAAATAGAGGCCATAGAAGACCAGAGCTCTCCCAACATGGATTCTCTTGTTGGCGAGACGGTAGTGCATTCACATAGCACATGTTAGTACTGTCTCGTCTTCCTTTTCACAGACCCTACAAAAAAGTGTTTCACACTTCCTCATATTGTAAAGGTGTTTCCTTAGCCAGCACTACAACGTTCATTTTATGAAACTTATTGACTTTGTATTATCAGATACTTCGTCTACAAGTTTGTACATTTTGTCTTTGCAGAAGAATTTTTATTTATTGGTATAATATTCCACAAAATGGTGCTTCATGTATAAGGTTAACTTAGAAAATTGTTTAAGATCGATGTATTTTCCAGCTATTCCTGTTAATGTATGGAATATTGCGGTCAAAGATGGTTTTGTATGGTTTGCCTTTTCTAAAAAATAGGCAAGGAATACATTTTCCGTAATGTTATTTGTTTCTTTTGAAATATTCCAGTCGATTTTTCGCCAATTCATTTTATTTTCTTGACTTATCAGGATTAATATTGAAGTTGGGGAATGTAGGATCTAAAACTGAAGGGGTATTTTGAAACTTATTTATATCGGTCACGTCAATTTTAATACTTTCATAATATAAATTTTTAAGCTTGCAAATGTTCCTTTAAACTATAAATGATTCACTACTAACTAGAAAGTGAAAAATAATAATTGGGGTGCAAGCATCTCGGTATCGTCTCACTTTCGTCACGATCCTGAAAAAAATTATCCACAACTTTCTTGGGAATGTTATGCTACTAACTTTTTTGCATATCAAGGACTATATTTTGATTCACTTCCAAGAAAAAGTAACATGTTATTGAACAAACATAAGCTATTTTCCACATTACTATTCATTTATGTTACAAGTTTTGAAATTTGAGGTGATGATTCATTACCACCAACAGATATTTTCATTAGATTGGACATTTGCAGGATTAAAAAGTTGGTTAAAAGTTCTACCAAATTGTTTTTATTACGACTCACCCAAACTGATACGACATGGAGACCAAATGTATTATAAAGTAGGACTATGTCAAAACATAAGACCAAGAGAATTTCTATTAAACATCCTTCTAACGGTGTTATAAAACAATTCCTTTTATGTTGATTCCTTTTATGTATCAATAATAAATAACAACTATATTTTTACATTGCAAGGAGAATATCTAATAAAGTTTGAATTAAATGAAACGTTACAATGGAGATGGACATATTAGACTAATAATGATCAAATTCAGTTCCACTGAAATTACGGAAATTTGAAGTGAAGAGGCTATTAATTATTTCTCGATTGCTGTTGCCAATAATTAATGAAGCAGACTTTGGTGGAGCTTGGAAACTGTACAAATATCGATAAACAACAGAGTTGGCTTTGTCGACTATTACAGTACTCAGTCCCTAATAAATCAAGACGAAAGAATTGCTTCAATTTAGAAAATGATATGTACCAACTTTATTGAATAGCATCACCTGAACATTGCTCAGTAATATAGGTCTTCAGCCACAAAGTGATTGTCATACCTCGTTTATGCGTAGCTTGCAATAATAAGAAAGGAATAAATAGAAATCTTAGATAAACATGGGATACAGTTTCATAAAGTTAACGCTTTGTTAGTTTAATGAACAAATTGTATTATATTATGTATTAAAATTTTTTTATCTATTATATAAAAATTTTCAAACAAACTGTGTTTTTGTTTTCGATTTTTTTTACTTGTATTAAATATGAAATTTATATAAATGTAATATATTAAAAATTCCTCGAAATTTTCCTGTATTTGGTTCAATTAACTCATAACTATTAATTCCTTTTTTATTTAATAACTGTTGAATTTCATCTCTAACTTGATTTCTATATCCATATGGTATTGGATAAGTCTTTGCTTTAAAATTTTGTACATCTTTTACTTCTATTTTAAGAACATAATTATTAGCTTTACTTGTCTCCTTTTGTATTAACTTTTCATGCTTTCGTAAAATATTTCTAACCCTATATTCATATTTATTATCACAATTAATAATTATTTTATTTATATCATTTATAAATTCTTCATCATTCAACAATTCATTATAATTATCATTATTTATTTCATTATTATATTCATTTTCATTATAACTTATATCATTTACATTAATTCTCCTACATTTACTCTTTCCTACATACTCCACATTAGCTAAAATTATATTTTCTTTCTCCTTTTTTAAACTATACTTTACTCGTAACCATTGTCTCTTTTGTTCTTCATTTCTTTCTTCTGGGCTTATTTTATTTAAATTTTTTTCCATCTTATTAATTTTCTCTTGATTGTTCTTTATTTGCTTATCAATCCTTTCAATTTCTTGAACAATAACATTATCTCGTTCTTGTATCTTCTCTTCTATATTATTGCATACATTAACATTTTCTTGTATTTTCTTGATACATTCTTCTTTATTTCTTTTCGTTTCTTTTATCCATTCTTCTTGTTTTTCATTCATCTTATTTAAATTCATTTCAATTTCTTGTTGGAATTTCTTCTGTTCACTTTTAAACTCTTTTCTAATTTCTTCAAATTTTGTCTCTACTATTTCTATAACCTTTGAAATATTGTCTGTGATATCTGCCTTCATTTGTTCTCTTTGTTTTCTATCTCTTTCTTCTTGCAATTTTCTTTGTTCTTCAAATTCTTTTTGTCTTTCTATTTTTTGTATTTTTTCCATATTTCGCAATGTTTCCATAATACAAGAAATGTCATTATTTCTTTCTTGAAACATTGTTGACTGTTCCCCCTTTCCTTCAATTCCATTGGCTGTACTTCTGTCTTCAGAACATTCTACTTCTTCTGAACTGCTTTCTTCTTCACGTACTTTCCCACTTCGTAAATCCATTATTTACTTTTAATTGAGAGAAAAAAATATATTTATATTCAACACCTATTTTATTCTAAAAGAGCTCTATATTTTTAAAGAGCCCCACGTTGGGCGCCATTTATCATAACTATTATGATATTAGGATTTAACAAAACTTAATTATTTGTAATCTTTTCAATTACAATAATAAAAGCAATAACAGAATATAATTTGATTATTTATCAAGTCCTTTACTTCAATTGATTTTTGTTTATTTGGGAACTTTCATTTATTTATTTTATTTTATTTTTTTTTTTTATCTTATAACTTTAAGTGACTTGATTATTATTCTTAAAAAAAAACTTCTAATAATTGAAACAATAAATCTCTTCCCTCAGGAGCGGTTCAAAATTTCATAAAAAAAAATCAAATGCTTTCAACAAAATTATCTACAGTATATTATCAATATTTTTTATTACAACACATAAAATGAATCACCAATAATTATAAAAATGTTTCTTGGAAAATTAAGTTAAATGTTTCTGACTGACTATATATCAATAAAATTTGGTTTCTAAATCATAGCATGGACTATAATTTTTTTTAACTATAAAAAATTTTTTTTTTAACCAAAATTTATTCATTATTTACATTTGCTTTTTCTATATCTTATATTTACACCTACTCTAACTGTCCAAAACAATTCTTTAGTAGCTAAAATTCGACGTTCTATTGACTATAATGTTATTCTACTTTGACGTACACAACAAAACTTATTCACTTACTGATTGTCTGTCCAACCCTTTTTTTATGTCCTTGTAGATATTAGACTCCACTTGTATTATACTAATCCTACACTCGGATTCACATTCTATTTAAATTCAAATTTCTTTCTGCAATATTATAACTGCCAAATCCTGAATACAATGATAAATCAACTTCTAAATTTCATCCAACGAAGTATTTTGTAATAATACAGACTGATTTGCTGATTATTCTTTCTTTTCTCTTCCAAATATCAACGTTCTGTCAGAAAAAACTATCTTGACATCTTTTTTCACCACCTTCTCTTCCTTTCTTTTTATATTTAAATTTTCCATTCAAAACCTCGTTACCATACAAACATATTTATAATTTACAACGTTCTTAGATATAATAACAATAAATTTTTTTTTTAATTTAATTTTCCAAATGATTATTTAATAAGTAATTCTAATAATACTAATAATTTAATAATTTAATTTCATCTTTTTTTTAAATCAATATGATATTTCATTTTATATAATATAACTTTTTAGCATTTCTTGTGACTTATTGTTCAATCATTGTTTAATTTTAATCTTCATACGTAAATAATCTAAGTTTATTCTACATTTAATTTATCAAAATCACTTAAAATCATATGTATTTCAATATTTGTACGCATATGCTCGATTAACCAAACTTTACTACCAAAAGTAAGTACTGGTTTAAGGAGAGTTGACGATTGTCCGCCAATCAGCGGTGCAAAGTTTACTTTTTTGTCTAACTTGACTTGTCTGTTCTCTTCATTGTAATCCATAAATGGATAATATATAAACGTTTACATAAGTAAGCAGATAAATTCCATTTTAACATCAGATTAAGAGAAACCAATATAAAAAGCGAAAACTTCCATTTTGATTTAACCAATAGTTTGTGAATCAGGCAGAATTACCCCCAGCGTCGGACACTAAAATGCGAGGAGCCTAAAAGCTTCCCGAATTCCTCGAGTTGTGTAAAATACAAATGAAGCCATTTATTGCACTAGGCCAGAATAGCGCAGAGAAAATGGGTTACCCTTTATAAAGCAGAACACAAGCCACTACATAGTTGTAATGTTGTACAGTATAACTTGTAGTAAAACGAAAATACTGGTAATAAAAGTTTTATTTTAGATTCCAAATGCGGTTGTAAACGCCGCATCTTCAAACTTAGACGCAGCTTATGACTGTAGTTACAAAGTCTTTACTTAGACATTGGAAATACTGTAGTATGAGAGCAATTTATGAATAATTTAATAAGGATAAATATCAGAATATACGAAACAGATAATTTTGCTGTCGAAAACCATGTAAATTTTAAATGTTAAATAACTACAGACTCATACGTGTACAAGGTTATTTCTTCGTCGAAGAAGTTTCATTATCTCCGTTATTATTAATTTAAAACAATATACTTGGTAAAAAAATTGCCAGACACACTGTTGAAATATATGCAATAATACATGGTTTATTAATTTTGGGGTTATTCTGAAAATAGAGGGGTATTGCAGTAACCCATTTAATTAAAAGAAAATATCTGTGAACATCTATTAGTGAAATAATAATTACAATTTTGATTAATGTATTTAACTGTTGATTGTGCAATATTAAATAATTTACATAAATCGATCAAACGATGCATGCATATTTTCACGTAAATATTGGGTGTAAAATCAGAAATTAGTAATTTGTTTATTCAGCGTTTGCTTTGCTAAATATATTAAAAGTTTGATTTATATTTTACATAAAGTACCTACACATTAAAAAGTAACATTAAAAGCTTCCTCTGTTCAATATAGTAATTGAATGCTCTAGACACATGCATTATGATAGTATCATAGTTTTAGTTAGTTAATTATAATATAGGAGTATATAATTACTTACTAAATTTATGTGCAATTGTAGTACATTTATATATATTTTAGTATAAAGAAAGAATAGTGTCAATAGATTAAATTCTGATTAAAGAAATATTTATCGTTTATAAAATTCTGATATTATTTTTTTTTTTATAAATTATCATCAACTGGATTGCTATATAAAATCCGTGAAGATGTCATATGGCCTTAAATCATATCTGTCTTATTATAACTAACCTCAAACATTTTTAGGTACCCTTAAAAACTTTCACATTTTTACCCCTACAAAAAAGAAAATCTATGAAAATTGGACAAAATTTTACATAGAGCTGCAAATAAACTAATACTTTTATGAGATATTTTATTTACAATTTCGAACTATATTTGTGCTGTTTAAGTTTAGTTGCTTGAATGTGATGACATTATTGGGTTTTTTAAATACAGGGTGTTAATGAACTTATGACAAATATTTTTGCCACATCCGTTGTGTCAAAATGAGGTAAATACACGGATTATTATGAGCATATCATAATATTCGCGATTGCTAAATAAATGCTCCTTTTTCAAAAGAAAACTTGGAAATACGATTATTAAATTAAACAGCACAGCAATCACTACAACAATGTAAGTACTCGCTGCGATAAAATACATGTATTTTAGCAGTTCCAAAACAGTTTTATACACATTTTTAATTAGCTTTTTTCTCTATGACCTTAAACCTCCGATACAAGTTTGTGACATCAGTTAACTCAGTTTTTGCTCCTTTTTCATCCCTTTAAATTTTTGACATAAGTTCATTACACACTGTATAAATATAACTCCCACAATTTTCGGCTAAATTATTATAGGAAATAACTTTCATGAGCCAGAGCCTTGAGTTGTGAAACTAAAGAAATGCATTTTGTTTACAAAGATTTCATGAGACACATAATTGAATGCTCTTGTAAAATTTAAAAATTGAGAACGTAAAAACTATCCGTGTTCAAAGCCAACATGAATTATTGGCGTATTTGGCTTCTCTATGGCCAAAGTTGTAGCAAAACTATTTCAGGACTCAATTGGTTGTACATACTTAAAGAAAAATTCTCATTCAAAATTATTGACTGTTTTTAATACAAGTTCAAAGATTTTAGCAAAATAGAGGATGATAGAAATGGACCTGTAGTTTGATGAATATTCAGTATTGTTTTTTATATATTAAAAAAGCCTCTGAAACTTTTAAACAGTTTTATTATTTCTGTACACATGTCACAAATGTGTTTACTTTTCTTGTTTTTTAGATCATCAATTGAAGATTTTATAGTTTCCACAGAAACCACAACCAATTTGACATTTTTAGGTGTAAAATATTTAATTTAAGTAAACTTGTTTACCTGAAACAATGTTTCGATATTTCTGTCATCACAATTTATTGTTACAGAATCGCTTCACGCATGTATTAGTGGGTCCGCAACATTCTCGCCGTGCAAGTGCACAAGATGCACAGGGTCAGCTTGCATTTATGGTTAATATTCTTAATTAGTTCTGAATTTGGGAAAAATTTTATTGAAATTAGAAACTCATCTGCATTTCATTATAAGCTCTTCCATTATTCTTCTTATTATTCTATACTAAAAATATGAGTATAATATTTTAATATTCATTTTCTTGAGTTTACGTAGACAAAACTTGATGTTCGAACTGCTGTCAACTTCTACGTAGATAATAATAATAATAATTTATTCGTAGAAAATACAGAGTATATAAAACATAAATCAATATTAAAAGCTATACGAATAAACAATAGGTACTTGATAAGTTTACACTTGTTTCAAGAACATAAAATAAAATATGAACAAACATCACAAAATGTCTATCACAGAAAAACATCAAACATATATATAATAAACAAAACAGGAAAAAATACATAATTATACAGAGAAAAGAAAAGTATGTATATGTTTACGGAATCAGTCAATTCGGATTAATTGTATTAATAAAAATATTTACTTATTGTTTCCCGAGGAGTTTCTAATATGTACATTTTAATTTTCCTCTTGAATGCATACATTGATAGATTATTTACTTTCAAGGAATCAGGTACAATGTTATATAGTTCAGGTGCTAAATATAGTAGTGATCTTTGGCCCAATTTTTTTTGCATAAAGGGAGATAAGAACTTGTGTTTTCTTCTGGTTTCATAATTATGAGACATTTCATGCTTATTATCAATATAATGATATCTACAAACACAGTTGTAGTAATAAACTACTACTTGTAGTAATAAAGTTGTCTTACATCGAAGTCTTTAGCTTCAAGGTACAACTCATTACTAGGGTAAGTTAATTCTTTTTCCAACATCATCTTTAAAAATCTTTTTTGTATAATGTGAGTGGTTAAATGTGACTACTAACCGCTG